CCCACATCCCTCCCTGGGTACAATGGACTGAGGTTAGACACCAGCCCTACTGCAGGGGAGGAGAGGGGAGGTATGGCTTGGGGCAAATCTGGTCACCTTGACTGCATATCAGGAGTTCAGAAGGAGTCAAGGACAAAGCAGTGGAGACCTGTCACTTTGCAGATCAAAGCCATCTCAGCCTCTTCCCTCAGCACCCCCTCTTAGCCCCTCATTCCCCCGCTGGGGTTCGGCCCCAGGCCTACTGCTGCATAAGGCCAGCTTGCCAAGCCTCCTTTTGATGTCTCCATCTCTCAATGCCTGATCCTTTCACTTTAAGTAGGCCTGACCTGGATGTCATCTCAAGCTTTCCGTCATACATTTTAAAATATCAGAACACAGAAGTCAACGTGATGTAATTTGTATGGTCTACATTATTTCATGTAGCGCTGAGTTTCCTGGAAGTGACTTCAATTCCAGACCAGGTGTTCTTTCTCGGACCCCGACAGGGCCTGGAGAGAGGCAGAGCCGATACCGACCAGTCTCAGTACCTTAGTGGGGAGCACCACAATGTATACAGTGCGTTGACTCCGTGAGCCATTTGAGACTCACAATCACAGGGAGGGAAATCGAGTCTCTCGGAGAGGACTTTAAACACGACCACTTTAGTGTGGCCAGAGAGGCAGGGGAAACCAGAAGGACCCCCAAGTAGCTGGGGAGGGGGACCCATTCCAGGCCTTCCAGAGCCGAAGGGGATGCTGTAAATAACCAACCAGGAAAACACACGTAAACCCCACCAACAGGCAAGACAGGACGTACATGCCAGCAACAAGGGTCTGCTGTGGGCCAGGCAGTCCGGTGGCTGCATGTTAGTGCTCCAGGGACATCACTGTGGGGATACCCTCTCTGCCCTCAGAGCTCACAGTTTAGGTTGGGGGCAGGTGGGGGGTGGGAGATAAAGAAGTTCTAGAGCATCCCAGGCCAAAATGGAGGAGCAGCAGCTGGGTCACCTAAAAGCAGCATCCAGGGGCTTGTCCCCTGCACTATGACTCTGTAAGGAAAACAAAATCTATGTACATCAGAAACATGTCAAACATGAAGGAAATTCAGGCAGGAATACAGGATCCTCAAGCCTCAGGCATTTGAACTGGGCCTGGAAGGAGGGAGAGGGTTGTGGGGAATTGAAGAGAGTAGATCCAAGACCTGGGTCCACGCAGCATGCAGAAGGTGACCTGTCAGTCACCAAGAAGGCCTGGCCTGGCTGCTCACCCACAGGGACCAACTGTGCTCCTACATGGCCAAGTTACGATGTTCATCTTAACTTCTTGTTACTAGTTTTACTAGTGATGTGACTTTTTATAAAACAGATGGTTTTCATGTGTGTAGTAGCGGAGTTCTACCTGGAGAGGGCGCTCAAGGCCACCACCTCACCTGGATGCTGTTCAAAGTGGGCCCTGGATGCTGGGAGGGGGAGCAGATAGGTCAAGAAGCTTAGCTGTTCCCACGAACCACCCCCCACCCCAGCCATTTCCCCACACGGTTCTTCTCTCTGGCCCTCCACTCTCCTCATACCTGCTCAGGTGTGGATGCTCTTAGGCAGCCCTGAGGCCGTGGCCTGAAGGGCCTTGGTGGGCAATCAACATGGGCACTTCAGGCCCTTCAGGCTTTGGACAGAGGAGGATCATTTCCCTGAGTATGTCTCCATGCCTGGCCACCATCAGAGACCATCAGATGTCCCTGGAGAAAGAAGCCCGAGAAAGCATCACCCAGCCTCTGTCTAGACTCTGCTCAGTGGAGCCAAAGAAGTCCAAACGGCAAACGTGCTCTGGTCGGTCTGGGCCCAGGAAGCCCACGGGGACTGGAGGTAGATCTGGGGTGCTGGACAGTCACCTCCCCAGGACTCAACTAAGGCAACAGGCTCAGCACCTCTGAGGAAGGCACAGCTCTGGGCCAGTATGTGGCCAGTTTTCGAGAGGCCTTGAGTGCCACACTAAATGTCTAGACAAAGACTAACTCAGTCCTCCTTTATCCTGGGTGACAGTGTCCAAGTGTGAATGGATGTGACGGTCCATCACCATGATATTTACAGCTCCACCTGTAACCACAGACCACCTTTGCTTAGGTTTAGCACTAGTTTTAATGGAGTACCTGTGAGGATCACACCGCCAACATGTAACCCTCTTTTTCCAGATGAAAACTGACACTCCATCATTCCAAAGCCTGCAAGCAGCTCAGCTGGGGGCCAGCCCAGGCCTCTGGCTCTGGCGTCTTGGCCTTCACTTGGTCTGTGACTGCTTGCTATCTTTCATAGGCTGGGCCCCTGGACAAGATAAGTGTCACTACACAAGTGCCAACTAAGGAAAAATAAAATCTTCAGCGGCTTGAGAACACACTTAACTTTAGCAGAACGCCCTGTACTCTTGTATCCAGCCTCTGCGCAAGTTCGTCCCACAGCCTAGAGGGCTCCATTCCCTTTTGCCCAGTTATTGAAATCCGATCCCTCCTCCATGGTCTGGCCCACATGCCAGCTTCTCAGAGGGGCCTCCTCTGGCCCTTCCGGGTGGATGGTTCCTGACCTGTGCTCTGGCTGGTCAGAGGCATCTCACCTACCCACCTCCTGCCTGATCTCCTCTTGGGGGACCAGGCTTACACACCTCCCCACCTCACTGGACTTGAAAAACATTCAGGGCCCAGAAATGCCTATGGCCCAGAGACCAAGCCCAGAGACCAAGCCCAGAGTCTCTGCAAATGGCTCCAGCCAAAGCTGCAGGTGGGTGGTGCCAACGTAGCAGGTGCCTCTGAGGGCTCACGTTGCTGCCAGCTGCCCTTTCCAGTCCCTCAGGGGCTGAGTCACTTTTATCCGGCCCAGAAGCCGGCCAGACACACCTGGGCTCCTGGCCAAAGCAGCTGCAGGTCCTGCCGTCCCACCCTGCTCGCCAGACCTCCTGCAGCCTCCCCAAAGCTCCCTGCTCGGCCATCACTCCATTTGGGCGTCTGCCTTAGTGTCCTGATTTGTGTCCCAGTTCCTCTGCTTTGCTGCCTGACCCTGGGCCTGGCCCTCTCTTGTCCTGCAAGGACTAGTCCCAAACCGAGAACCCTGCAGTGCAGGAAGGCCACTGATCTCACTGGAGCTGCCCATGAGCTCCCAGTCACCTTGCTTCAGCCCATCGCAGCATGTCAGATTCTTCCAGATGCTGATACAAGCCTGAGCCAAGCACACCCCACACCAGGGCTGCCACCCTCTCGGGAGCCTGTGCTCAGTAGAAGCAGGGCAAATCCTATGACCCCACCACCCACCAGGCCATGGAGGTGCAGACCCCTCCTGCACAGAAGTGGTCAGCAGAAGTATCCAGACCACAGTGGAGCAGCCAACGGCCCTGCTGAGATTCTACCTGGGGTCTTAGAGTTTCCTAAGTCAGTGAGCCTTATCTAGCACACAGGTGGGAGCAGATATGGAATAAAAGGGGACAAGAGGTGGGTTTCAAATCTTTTCTGTGGCTTAATTATAAACAGCCTTTAAGGAATGAAGCATGACCTCTGCTTACGAAGCTCCCAGGCTCCCTGTGCAGTGGAGAGACTCACACTTCTTCATCTTATTTACACCTCCCCTTATGTGCTAGATGTTCTATATGAATCAGGCTTTTATTATCATGAAAAATAACTAATAATCAAAAAGAAGGGAACTGATATTAAATCAGAGCTTCCTCAGGTTACAGAGCCTGTGGGGATGCCCAGGAGGAAAGACTGTGGCTGTGCAGCCGGCCTGGGTCCCCACCACATCTTCCACAATCTCCCCACCCACCTACTTGGCAGAGTGTGAGTCTAAGTGACACCAGGCAAGAACAACCGCTAAGAGACCTTCCGGGATGGGAACACGACAAGGCCACTCTATTCCTGACCAATGACAGAAAGTCTATTTAATGAGAGTGCGGAGGTCACTCATGAGCACAGCACTCCCAAAGGAGGTCCCACGCCTGTCTTCAGTGTGCAGAGGGAGGCCAGCCATGAGCCCGAGGTGACACTTCTGCAAACATCTGGTCCATGCAGGGAATACCTGCCCAAGGGGCCAAGTGGCCAGTGGGGTAGAACCAGGAGCAGAATCCAGGACCCTCACCTCCTCCAGCTCCCTCTCTGCATTTCAGCCTGAGCCTCCCCCCGAGTGACCCCCAGCAAGGCTTCCTGCCCCTGTGGGAAAGATGCTGCCCCGGGGGACAGAGCTGAGCAAAGTGTCAGGCAACAAATACTCCAGAGTGGCTGCAGCCAGGTTTTACTTCTGTAGGATGCAGAGCCCGGTGCTCACCGCTCCCCAACACACGGGGCCCTCCCTCCATGCTGGCCCAGCCTTTTGCAGCTGAGACCACAGCAGGGTGACATGGAGGCGTCCAGAATGCGGACCCAGGCCAGGGAGTTCCACACGTCCTCGCTGCGGCCAAACCCTCTGGCCTTTGGAGAACCAGCCAGGCCCTGAATTCCAGCCCAGGTTGTGCCCTCCGTCCTCATGCCACCCGGGGTTATCTGAACACCCTCGGGAGCCTGCTTCAGGGCTCTCCGTGAAAATAACTACCTTTGCACAAACTTCTCCCTTTCCTGGCATCTAGGACAAGGTCCAAACCAGGCTGTGCGAAACAGCGAGCCTGGGCACACACAGCACGCGTGCTATTGGCAAGGATAAGAGGGTGGAGTCGCCCCCAGGCCCACGCCTCCCCTCTCGGATGAGGTGGAAGCCCTCAGGACACCCAGGATCAGAGCAGCCACTGTGCATCTCCCACCCGAGGGAAGAGCACAGCCTTGAATTCTTGAATATGTGCTAACCCCAACCCATAACGCAGCCTCTGAACAGGAGCCCCACGGAGCAAGCCAGCATTCACGACATTTATCTAGAGAACAGGAGTGCAGGGCGTCCTGAACGAGACCCCTCTGGGAGCATGACCCCAGGGCCCCATCGGTACCCAGGAGCTGAGGGGGGACCCCGGGGCAGGAGAGCAGAGGCCTTATTGGCAGAAGGTCGCAGGGCCAGCCCTTACCCATGACCACGCTGAGTCCAGGGAGCTCTTGCCCTGTGGGGCCTCCCAGCTGGAGCTGCAGAGGGGCTCCTGGTCTGCCATGGCTGGGCCCCGAGTCAGGAGAGGAATGCCCTCAGCCACAGCAGCTCAGGAGCAGGGAGGCTGCCCGGGCGACACTGGAGCCACACTGGAGCCGCGGCAGACGGTGCTTCCCTTTACACCAGGTCGGAGCCCTGGCCAAGTCACAAGGCTCAGCGAAAGAGCAGAGTGTTAAATTGCAAATCCTCTCCCACCTGGGGACTGGCTGACAAACAACCCGGATGTACAGACTGCCGAGACACCCGCCTTTGTCCCCTCGGTGAGGGGAAACCAGAGGAGGGCCTCAGTCCCATCCAGCACAGGGCACCCGGGATTTGCCACGTCCCACCCAGGCGCTCTGGGGCCCATCCTCTCAGGAGCAAGACTCAGAAACTGAGGGACCTCCCAAGGTCACAGCTCTAAGACAGGATCAGGCTCAAATCCACATGTTTTTCCCAGGGGGAAGGTGATGGGGAGGGGTGTGGGTGGCCCTCCACCCCACAGGCTGAGTGCGGGCAGCTGTGCTCTGCCCAGCTTTGCCACCAGAGCCTCACGGAGCCCTTCCTCTGTCCCTTGTCCTGCCTCAGCCTGTCTGGAGTCAGGAGAGCTGGGTTTGGCCACCGCCTCAAGCCCCACAGGGCCCTGGCGGAGCTCCCTTCTCCAGTGACCGCACGGCCTCCAGGGAGATCAGCCCTGCGTCACCCCTCGCTCTCCAGCTGCGACAGCCTCGACACGTGGGGAGCTGGCCTGGCCCTGGCGCTGCCTGACCAGGGGTGGCAGCACCCCTCTAAGGAGAAAACACAAGTGGAAAGGGCTGGTCTTGGGTCACAAAGCCAGAAAGTTGCAAAGCAGGCCAGGGGACTGCAGAGACAGGCGCCCCAAGCTCATCCCAGCCCGGATGCAGGCAGCCTGCGGGGCGTGGTGTAGTGGTAACTGACGCGACCTGGACGCCAAGTAAACTAGGCCACCGTCTTGAGAATTAGTGCTGGGGAAAGGGGGGGTTCCCTCCCCTTTCTAGAGAGCTCCTCTGGAAACTGGATTAGCACCGCCTGTTCCTCCTTTTCCATCCCTCCCTTCAGGATCTAACTACTTCCCTTTGAAGTGTGAACGCGCCTCTGGAGGCTCCAGGCCCAAAGCTAGAGATTTATGGAAGGCCTTGTAATAGGAACCAGTTCTTCCCCTTATCACACTCCACTTCCCTCTTGAAACCTGTGCACAACTACGTATGGTTTAGACTAGCAAATTCATGACACTAGATAGCCTACAGTCGTGGTGGAAAACAGGGAAGGGCGCTCTGATCTCCTCCGGCCGCTGCTGTCGATAAAGCTTGGGGCGCTCCTCCTCTGCGCTGCCGCCTGCGGCTTCTCCACCAGCCTGTTCCCAACAGTGGGAGGGAGGCGCAGAGCAAGGATGGTTTCTGAGCGAGGCAGGGGGCAGAGGCCTCCACCAGGAAATGGCCAAGGGGAGAGGGCCTGCAGGCCACCGAGGGGAGGCACTTCAGAGTAGTGCCTCTGAGCTCACTGGCCTGAGACACGAGGCCCTGGGAGGAGCCAGGGCGGAGAGGGGAGCCTAGGTGTGGAGGGTGCGCCCAGGGCCGAGCTGGGCTCCCAACTTCCCGGACTTGTCCCCAGGTCTCTGCAGCCCTGAGGCCTCCTGGGGTCCCAGCAGCACCAGCCCAAGACCGCCCCCTTCCCAGAGGCCTTCTCTGCCTTCCTGGGCTCCTCCTCCTCGTTTCCTCCCCTGGAGGCCCTGACAAGACCAGGGGGACGTTGTGAGCAGGCAAGGGAAGATCAAGGGCCAGGGTCACCCTCCCTTCACCAGCCCGGGTCAGTGGCTCCCCCAGGTGCCATGTCTGGTAAGGGTGACGAGTACTCCACCGCAGGCCGCTGCCCTCTGAGTCACTGACCAGGACCCTGGCCACTGAATACTGATGCCCTGAGCCCCTCTGATCCCAGGAAGGACCCCAGAGTCGGCATCTCCCACCCCACGACCAGGACAAGCACCCACGGTCACTGTGTAAGGGAGAAGACACCCGCACTTTGGGACGTTTCTGCTGACCTGGGTCGCCACCACTCTTACTATTTTTAATTCTTCCTCTCAAGATATTTTAAGAACCTCCTGACCCACGAGCGATAAGATTGGGAGGAATTATACCTGGTGCGGCTCAGCGTTTGGCCCGAGTCCGACAGAAGCACAGGACGCGCACGGGCAGCAGTTGCTCTGAACAGCAGGCTGGAGCCACTGTACCCATCGGAAGCCACAGTCCCTGGGGAGCAGGAGAGGGTGACGGCGGGCTGCCACGGTCCTCAGAGCCCTTAGCCCAGGGCAGGGCCATTTCCCACTCCATTGGCAGCTGAAAGACAGGACATGGGGGTGACACAGGTCCCACAGATCTGCCGCCACAGGGCCCACACTGTCTTGGAGGGTGCACCAAGCAATGGGGAAGTGACCACTATGGGTTCCCATGGATGCTGGGGATCACCAGAAGCTCGGTGGGAGGTTACATCGCACTGTCATCATGGGACCTGCTGGCCTCTCCTGCCACCCTCCTCAGAGGCCATTATGACTTAGGGCAACCTCTGTTCCTTAGCTGAGAGAACAGGGTAAAAATAGAATCCCTCCTTCATAAGGTTGAGGGGATACCGGAGGCCACAGGAGGACAGTCCTCCACACCGTGCCTGGCACTTACTAACCCCGAATCCTCACAGTCGCTTTGGGGTAGGCACTGATGGCACCATTTTGCAAGTACAGAAATGGAGCCTCTGTCCACACTGGCCCACACCCAAGGCCCAGGCCCCTAAGCCTTCCCTGACTCTCCACCCCATGAGGACTTCTTTCTTTGATCTTTGAGGGAAAGGGACAGAGGTCAGGGGCTGACCCCTCTGAGCTCCTCCTAGGTGCCTTACTTACCTGTCATCTCTAATTCTCACAACCTTCCTCCGGGATCGATGATACCATTTTCCAGATAAGGAAACTGAAGTTCAGGGAGGAAAGGGCAGAATTTAGGGGCATTGTCCTCGCCATCCGCTCCCTTTATTTGAGACGTAGAACATGCCAGGGAGGGTTCACTACCTGTCCACCAGAGGGAGCCCTCGGGACAGGTTCCCGGCCCTAATCATCTTTAGCAACGTTAAAAGGTAAAGCATAGCACAATAAATGTTTTGGATTGATTGAGCAGACAGCCATCCATGAAAGGAGCACAAGGGGACGACTTGTATAAGGTGGGTGCAGAAACGTCTCATGGGTTGCAGTTCTGTAGCTGCCCTTGTTGGCCTAGGTCACTAGAGGTCCCTAGGTGCATAGTCTAGTTAGCAGCTTCTGACTGGTGAAGTTGAAGTTTGGTTTTCTGTAATAGAAGCGATGACAAGGAACAGTCCAGGTTAGGATGTGCTCATGTTTGTCACCAAGCAGGGTCGAGACGCTGGTTTTGTCTGCTCAGAGAGCCATTGGACCGGGTCTCCGTTTCAATCCACTTTAACAGCACCAGTAATTCCCTGCACTACGGGTGTTATACACCATGAGGAAAAGTCACTTTTGGTTGTTGTGTTTTGTTTTGTTTTTAATTAAAAACTCTATTTTTCAGAGCAGTTTTAGATTCACAGGAAAATCGAGCAGAAATGGGTATGCCCTCAGGCCCTCCTGCTGGCCCCCTGCTTGACACCCCTACCACAGGGCGCCTTTGTCACCATCAGTGACCCTACATTACTGCGTCATCACCACCGGAGGTCCTCGGTTACTCCAGGGCTCGGGCTTGGTGTGGCACATTCTAAGATCTGACAAAGGCACAGTGGTGTGCATCCAGTGTCACAGAATCCCAAGGACCAGTTTTGCTGCCCAAAAGATCCTCTGTGCTTGCTTAGCCCTCTCTCCCTCCTAGTCCTTGGCCAGTCCTTTCATTGTCCCAGAGTTTCGTCTTTCCCGGAATGTCAGGGGTTGGAATCATGTGGGCTTTTCAGATTGGCTCCTTCCACTTAGTAAAAAGCGCTCAAGCTTCCTCCGTGTCCTCCCGTGGCTTGATGGCACATCACTTTCAGCATTGGACAATATCTCACTCTCCGGAGACACCACAGTGTGTCTGTCCATTTGCCTGCTGAAGGACATCTCGATTGCCTCTCAGCTCCTGCAGTATAAATAAAATTCCTATCATCAACCGTGTCCGTGTGTCCGTGTGGAGGTAAGTCTTCAGGTCATGTGGGTC